TTCAGACAAAAGTTAAAAAGGGGCGAAACGAATCAAAACAAAGTAAATCCTGAAACATAAGCAGATGGTCTAGTAATGGGAAGCAGGTTGGGATGGTTGCTAAGTGACAAGGGCTAAGATGAGGGTCCACAGCTTTGGCCGTGCTCTTGCAGGAAAAACACTTCTCCTCCCTAGACTGAGCCACCCTCTCTCCCCATAGAGCTGTGGTTCTGACGCTGGCGGGGCAGGACAGGAGGCAGGCCTGGCCAAATGAGAAACAGACCCCCTTCACCCCGGTATTGCCTATTTCTCCCTGTGGCTTTTTTGTTTTCAAAGAAAAAAAGTGCACCCTCCAAAAATAGATTTGGGGCTTGCGTGCCAATGGTTTTTGAAACCTTTTTTTTTTTCCTTTCCCTCTAGTCACGCAAGTAGCCTGGCAAGACCTTGAAGAAAAAGCAAGGGAAAAACACAACTCGTACGAGACAAGAGAAAAGGGGGGGGGCTCTCTCTGGAGTGTTTGGAGAAAGGATTGTGGTAAGCTGAGGATGGAGCATCCCTGGAGCCTGGCCCTCTGCTCAGGGAACAAGGAGTAGAAACTTCCGTGCAAGCTGCAGGTATGAAGGGTTTATGTGTAATCCAAGCATGAGCACAGAGTCCTCTCTCTGGTCTGGCCTGATTTTGACTGGACGGTAGCCTGGGCTTCTCCAGTGTCTGATCCTTACCAAAGGGCCTGCAGACGCAGCAGCTCACATCCGAATGCAAAGATTCCCATTCCTTATATCCATGAGCCACATCTTTCACTGCCGTTCACTTCACTACCCACTGATCTCTGCAGCTGTTATTCATCTTTGCATCCATCACATATACTATGTCGTCAAGATGAGATCATTGCCTAGATTATAAATGAGAGAGACATTATCAGGCCCTGGTTAACTATCTTTGAAGAGCTGTCTATTTTGGTACCTTCGTTATAGAAAAGTGCTTTTGAACATATGACAGTGAAAGGGCTCGTTGCACAAGTTCTTCTGCAGAAGCCATGTTAAACCCATTATATCCTCCAGTCGTTATAGTCATTATGCCTTCAAGGCTACATGGGCCTTCGACTGCGAAAGCATGAAAGTTTACTGGAACATCTGAGTGAGGGTTAATCTTTTTTTGGAAACCTTTAATGACAAGTAGGCAGCCCTGAGTGAAGCATGTGACATGGGGGTCCCCATCCTGAGTCCCTGTGCTTTTTTAAATGAGCAGAAGAAACACTTTCAATGCACCATCAGTACTTTTAGCAGCTCTACACTGAAGATTGTGAAGAAATGATAAATAGATTTATGTCTCCCTTTAAGTCATGTCTGGATAGTTTGCTTTTTAAACATTTTAATATGGAAAAAGGTCAAAGGACTTAAGTTTTTGACACATGCTACATCATGAAATATTAGCTTTTTGTAGTAAAACACACTTGATCCTGTTTACTAGCTGACAGTACCAAAATAAAACATATTTGACTTATTAGATGCAGGGAATTTCGAAAAAGAGATTTTGAGCACAGCATTTTAGATTTTGTCTGTTTTGATATAAAAACTGCTCACTTGATTGTACAAGTTTAGGATTCCACTTTCGAATTGCCAGATGTCAAGCTTAGTCAAAAAGAATTCAAGATCAGCATGTGACTAAAGGGCTTTGTGTGACTTCTGCACTGCATACTAAATATATACAAATATGTATATACACACCATGGTTAGTTACTTTATAGAGAACGCACCAATGGATCATAAATGAAATGTCCAAACCTGCAGTGCACCGTAATGACGAAAACAAAAAACAAGACTAGAAGATGTTTACCGATGTGGCACCATGAGAAAAGGTAATCATGTAGTTAGGCAACTTATACAGCTTTTGATGGAACAAGCAGCCCATGAATTATGGAGCAACATGAAACCCTTCACAAACATGACAGAAAACAGGACGTTACCAGAGCAGAAACAAGTCATTCTCTTCTTGTTGCATGAAAACAGAGAATTTTGCATCTATCCAGGAGGCGGCTACACCGGTGACAAAGGGAAATTATTCAACAATGCATGAAATTAGTTGATTAGCATATTCTTTGATCAAAGTGTGGAACTGATCAATATGAACAACAACGCTTTTGATCTCCAGCAGGTTTGACGATTTCAAATGCACCAGCTCTTCCCTGAGAAAACGCAGTTTTAAGCAGCAACAGGGAGCAGAATACAAATGAGTGTGATTTAAAAATATGTAAAGGTAAATGACGGTATTCGTAAATGAATGTTCTCCTCGAGTTCTTTTTAATCATGGTGATGCTATCGTTTTATTACAACAAGAGCAGACACTACCTCTACAAAAAGTAGACGAACGGATAAACGTGTTTGCAGTCTTACATCTTATTCGTTTTATGGAGTTTGAGGATGGAGTTCACTTTTCACTTTTCACTTGGCTTGTGCTACAGGCGAATTACAAAAAGTATACAAATGTGTACTTATATAAAAGTGTACAAAATAACTCAATTGATGGATTTTCATCAAACTTCAAGTCAAATGTGAAGGTCAACAAAAATACGGTCTAAGATATGTCTGCATATAACAACACTAAATCTTAAGCTTATGTTGATCAGAAAGTTATTCCCTAGTATTTTTCAAACTATCTCTGCAAATAACGCATGATCATATGGTAGGAATGACATCATCATGACATAAGGGCAATATACAAACCTTTCACTTTTCATTGACTTGATAATAATAAATTATCTTTGCTGCTGATGCTACGATTTATGTTTTGTCCTCACAATCAAGTGGTCGTTTTGTGTGAATCGCTATTTCCCAATATTTACAGTTAATTTTGTCGTGCGAAAATAGTTGCAATAAACAAAGGGATGATATTTATATCCAGGTGAACAAATACAGGGAGTGTGTGGGTAATAGCAGGTTAAGATTTTCAGTTTCATGAAAATATGACAGTTGTGACGGCTCTATGAGAGATGCAGAGGTTGAGTCGGTGAAGGGTAAAGCGCAGCCTGGCACTGATGATTGCATGTTAACAGAGCAGCCTCCTGCGTATCCACTTTGTGTTGAAGGGAAAATTATAGATTTCATTTGGTTAACTCACAGCCTTTAATTTAATCTTTGAGTAATGACTTGGCTTTTGCCCTCTCACTCATATATAATCTGAGTTCTGTTGTGTATATACTGGCCTCCGATCCAAGGTGCTCGGTTTGGGTCAGGGCATTCACCTCATAACCTGAGTCTGCGATGAAATTCAGGCCGTGTGTATCATCAGTGAAATGTCCAATCTAGTCATCTCCACCCATATTTCCAGTCCGGGAACGAAAACACACACTCACATGAATACGCCTCAGTGTTTATGTAATTGCTCAGAATACTACAGGGTTTAGGTTTCAGCTGCACAACCAGTTGGAGGCAGGCCTCGGAGCGAGAAAACACTGCTGGTCCAGTTTCAGCTCTGTTTCATCAGGCAGCAGGAGCATCGTCCAGCCTTGGGCAATATGAGAATGATGCAAGTGTGCAGGTGGGAGCGGATACAAAAATAACACTATTTAGAAACATTACTGTCGTGCAGTAATTATAAAATAGGTTCAAAAGAATTTGTATAAATGCATATCTCCAGAGGAAAGTTTAGATTATTACCCTGCTTGAACTTTCTGACGTTGAAAAGTTCACTGGGGTAAAACAAGCACTCACAGTATTTGTTATTTCACCGTATCATTTGAGAGCCAGAATTGAGTTTTAACCAAAGAGGTTTTATGAGCAAGATGAAAAGATAAAGCCTGTTTGCATGTGGAATTCTTAACTCATTTTCTTTATGCACCCTGTTGCTCTTACATGTTCCATGATCTGGAAACAGCTGAGGGCTGATATTTCTACTGGAGCATAGTATAGTTAAGTGCACAAACAGTGAGACAGTAGTACTAATAATTGGAAGAATGTGGACCTAATGCATAAACATACACATACATTTCATACAAATAAAAACCTGAGGTTTGACCTGGAGTTGGGTGTCGACATTATAACATGTTGAATTAATTCTGAGCTGCAAAGCAAAATGCAAATCAGATTTTTCAGCCAAAATTTCACAAGTGGAACACAAAAGCAGGATGGCGATAAGGCTGACCCTGTTTTAATGTGGATCTAATTTGAACCAACACATCACAAATGGTACTAGAATGGCACTGAAACCACATTTTAATTGACTAGATCCAGATCTTTATTTTAATCTGCCCCAATTTGCACACACAAATAAAAATAATAAATATTTTTCATCAATTACTCTCTGAGAAAACCACAAGAATATTATAAAACAATCTCATAATGTTTAAGAAAATTCCGTTGAGTAGATTTTGCATAATCCTGCTAAGTAACAAACATATATATATATATATATAAGGCTGAACTGAGAATTTCATGTGCAGCACCTGATGAGCGCTTGTTTTCAAGTGCTTCAGCGAGAACATCAGACAAAAGAAAATATGACTTTTTTTCATAGCTGTTTTTAAATGACTTCATCTGAAGGCAAATTACTTGGTGTTGTGATTGTGTTACATCATATACACCTATCAAGTTCTAAATAACACTTAATGGCTATCATTAAATCCAATATTGTCCAGTTAAGAGATGTTTTCCTAAGGTCGGGTCAGCACTGGCAGGCTGATTGAGAGCTGCATTTCTCCATTTCTCCATTTCTCCTGTTGCCCCTGGGACAGTCTGGGAGTTTTGAGTTGTAATGTTTAAGCAAGTTATAAGCCTGAGGTTACAGAGTAGTGCTAGCGGCTTTAACTAATTTAGAATCTGCTGAAAATACCATTGAGCCTTTTGAAGGTGTCGAGTGGAGCTTCAATGTTAAGAGGAGTTCGATGTATGAGCCCTCAGGGGAGGACACTGGTCAAGTCTTTCACCTGAAATTCAAACACTTTCATGGATTAATACACAGAAACTTTTTATCACCATTACTCTGAGCAGAGAAAGATGCGACAGATGTGACGATGTGTTCACATGAGTACTTTAATCAGGCACTTTGCTCAAAACACTTCTCTGGACAGGCCTTGAATGATATGTGTAATACCGTAATACACACATGAAATGTAAGTGGCAGGTAAAACTGTTCAATACAAAAACAATACAAACAACAAAGGTACCCTCATTCTGTCAAATAGGTAGTGTTCATGTATATTTGGCCATGGTCAAAATAATAATATACTAAAATCTGTTGGAGGTGTACCTTTATAATAAATAAAAATACTGTAAAATGTTAGTGTTGCTTAATATATGATGTTTTCAAGAGTGTAAAACTGGGGTTTAAGAAAAAGAAAATACTTATAGTAATTATAAGGAGCAAACAGACAGAGCAAAGACAGAGCTCTTGGTAGTTATCAATAAAAATTTACATGCTATTTTATTTTACCAAAAATACAGTTCCGGTCATGAATATATTTATGGTGTAGGCATCTGTTTCAAAAATATTATGGCTGAACATGTATATGACATGAACTTCTTCTAATTGACGAGGAAACATTCTCTGGTAGTGTTTGAACATTCATAGATACACTTTTTTCATACTTCCATCAAGCTGTATGCAAGATTTGTTGATCCACACAGTATTGTTTATAGTGCCTTTGAAAAGTCGGGGTGAATTGTGGTCCATAAAAAAACATTCATTACAGTTTGGTTGTGAATCTATACAATGGAACCGATCTAGACAGAAATAGACTGTCAAGATATTGCTGATCTAGGGCCCAAGCAAACATACGCCAATGTCTCAGTGGTGAACCTTAGCCTTCCCTTTCACTTCCAATCAGCGTGAGCGAGGGGGCGAATAGAACATTCAGCGTGGCTTCACGTGTGACGAGTTCAACTTTGGTTACGCTTTCCATTCGTGTATGTCTGGCCGTGCCCTCAGAGTGTGAGACGGGTTTGTTTTATATTTTACTGACAAATGTTAGATGAGTAAACAAATTACCAAGACCTGCTTACATTCTCTGGAATGATTAGGCTGCAGATAGAGCAACTCTACATACATAGCTGCTCGATGTTCTGCCTCGAGTGAGTTATTTTCTTTCACAATGCAAAGTGGAAAATGGAGTAAGGCCCATAGTGAGAAAATTAAAGCCAGAGAACCTGAAGAATGGGATCATGGGTTGTCACGTTTCATCTTCCTCTGCAGGAAATGTAGTGACGTGTTGAGGACTAAGACAATTTTCTTCCAACAATTCACATTCATGATTACCTTTTGATATGAGATCAAATACGGGATCCCGAGAAAGTCTGATCACACGTAGCGCTATTCTGACTGATGTTTTCATTTGTCAAGCAAGGATGCCTCTTCTTCTATAAATATTTACAATTAAAAAAACGCCAATTCATAAAGCATTAATGGAGAGCTTCATTTAAAACCACAAGTTAAGCATTACAGGAGATAAAACATACAGTACAAACAAGTATACAGTACAAGCTACAAATATACAAATATAGAAATATATTCTGAGGTTTTAACAACCTTTTTGACACTTCAATGCCATTTCCTTTCAGAAACCACATGTAAGTATAAAAATATAGACAATGCTTTTGTACAAAATATTGACATCATCTATGAATCCCTATTCGAATGTGCAAATTAACACTGATCAACAGAGGAATAAGGAGTTTCTTACACACACACACACACACACACACACACACACACACACTGACTCACTCACAAAAGGCATGGTCCATTTTGGCCTGTTAGTCATGTAGTTCAGTTTTTCCAGTAAGCACCACAACAGTTATTTGGACTTCTTAATGTAACCTTTTGTACTGTTCTCTTAAGACGGAGAATAAGAAAGAGATTTCAAGTTGCAGCCCCTGTGGTCATACAGTAGAATTAGTCTGGGACAGCACCGACTCAGTTTTAATTCATGCTTGAGAATTCAAATCCTCAGCTCTGCCTCCTCGCTGTGTTCCAAATTGTGTTCGTTTGCGCTGATCATGGATGCAGAGGGACCCTGTGAGACGCTGAAGGGCGTGATTGCAGGTGAACGTGCTGCCAGCGGTGAGAGAGAGGGCGAGAAACTGGGGGACATGGCAACTGAGGAGATCGACCCCTCAGCGCTGAGGGGAGATCGACGGAAAGAAGCCAAGTGTGGGAATGTCCTCCCTACGGCAGGCTTTGGAGGTACAGTTTTGGCCCCGGGGTGGGCCACAGAGGTTATGAGAGGCGGGGGGTCGATTCTTGACTCGGCCTTCGCTTTGTGATGGAATGACCTGCGGGAATGAGGAGGAGCGGTTTCATCTTTTAATCGCGCTATTTCTGTAAAAACATTAGCCAGGGGTTGGAACTGGGGACACCAGTTAAGCAGGTAGTCCCAGTTATAGCTGCCCCTCAGTTCCTCATCACTGGCCACGATGGCTGTTAGGGAGCCATCCACAGCTGGCTTCCCATCCTCTGGAAAAGTATAGTCTTTAGGATGTGAGATGCTGAGTCCCCGTCCCACACCCACATACCCTCCCCCCTCATCCCTGTACACTGGCACCTGGCCTGCTAATAAAGTACTATTCAGACTGCCCAGTTTCTTCCCTTTGAACCAGTCTATGGAAGGCTCACAGGACACGTCCGATAGCTGGTCTGCGTCCTGTTGGATTCCAGAGTCCGGACCCCGAGCAGAGATGCGCTCCTGCATGGACGAGGAAATACTCGACACTCGTGGGTATTCGTTAATCATTCTGATCTCATCATCCTCTGCTGCCTCGGCCTCTGCAGAGCCACGCCCACTGGAGTGGGAGGGATCCAGGGATCCACCACGAGTGAACGGACCCCCACCACCGCCACCTTGACTAGTTGTGTATCCAGGAAGGGCCTGATGGTAAATCATTTCATTTGCTGTTATTTTTGTTTCCTCGAGCTTATGCAGCATTGTGCCTGATGTTGGTGTTCGTTTGTTTGCTTTTTGCTCCTTCTTCCGACGTCTTAATTTCACAAAAAACAGTGCCACAGCGATTACGATCAGAATGACGATGGCCCCTAATGAAACTGCAATGACACTGATGAGCAGCATATTCATGTCTGTCGTGAGACCAAAAGACGTGTGGGTCACATCTACGGTAACTTTAGCCACAGCAATGCGTGATGTCTCCAGGGGGCTATGAGCCGTCACGTCCAGTGTCATCAGACGCACCTCTCTTTTAGAGCGACCCACATGCGAACTATAACTGTCCATCTTTAAGGTGACAGCTCCTGTCGATTTATTGACTTCAAAATAGAGCGAACTTTCTGCGAGAGAATAGAGAACAATACCGTCCACGCCTCCATCCTCATCTCTGGCTTGTACTTTGCCAATAATCTGACCTTTCTTTGCTCCCTCGGGCACTTCAAACAAGAACTCTGACGATGTGAAAACAGGATCATATTCATCCTCCCCTGTAACATAAACCTGCACGGTTACACTAGCAGAATAGTTGCCGGCATCCATGGCAACAGCCACAAACTCCAGGGAGGACACCTTCTCAAAGTCAAATGTGGATCGAGTCCGCACTTCCCCTGAAGTTTGGTTGATGAGGAACGCATCTCTTCCTTCTTTAGAGTTGTCTAACATGTAGTACTTCAACTGTCCAAACACACCTCCATCATGGTCAATTGCATGCAGCATAGTGACTAAGGCATTCTGGGGCTGATTCTCCCTGATGCTCGCAGTTACAAGTTTGAGGGGAAAGTAGGGGCGGTTGTCATTGATGTCCTTCACCTCTATACTGACTGGGGCCAGAGCATAGTGCCCTTGCCCATCAGTGGCCTGGACAACAATCATATGCTTCAACTGTCTCTCACTGTCCACAGGTCTCTGCAGCCTCAAGGCTCCGGTCCACTGGTCCACCTGGAAAATGTCCGTCTCATCCCCTGAGCTTATGAAGTACTGCACCTCTCCATTGGGAGCAGAGTCGGGATCTGTTGCAGATAGATGCAAGATCTCTGTCCCTGCTGTTGCACCTTCACTCAGCACCACGCTGTACTCTGACCGGCTGAAAGCTGGAGGGTTGTCATTGGCATCCGAAACAGTGATAAGGATAGGCACGCTAGAGCTACGTTGAGGGATCCCTCGATCAGACACCACGACAGTCAGATTATAACTTGGCACTGCTTCAAAGTCCAGCTCCTCCACCAGGATCAGGCTGCCGACCGTCTGGAAGCCCTGCCCCTCCAAGAAGCGCACGCTGCTCTCAATCTGGAAGGCATTACCTGAGTTGCCACTGGCAATAGCAAAATCGAAACCACAGTTGTCCCGAGACAAATCTCCGTCTACTGCTTCTAAGATCAGAACAGTTGATCCAGGAAGGCCGTCTTCAGACACAGTGACTCTGTACTCTGACTGGTGGAAGATGGGGGTGTTGTCATTGACATCAGACACTTGTACCTGGACAGTGGCAATGGATGAGAGGGGTGGCGTGCCCTGGTCCCGCGCCTCAATCAGCACCAGGATGGAGGGATTTTCAAGGTCAAACTCAGTTTTTTGGTTGATGAACAAAGTCCCTGTGAGGAAACAGAATGAAAAGAGCAACTTTATTTTAACCATCTGTCTAAACCTCATCACATTAATTAGAAACGCCAGTCAATACACATGGTGATTAGCTATTAAATTAACTTAATTACCAAACACTGTTGCAAGTTTGGGCAAGTTCTGTTTAAAAGGGAATATTATTTGAGGCAAAGGAATTCCACTTGAGAATAGGAGACAGAATAACCTGAGGCGAAGAAAGAGTCCTCTTTTATAACACACTTATTTCAGATGCTATCTCACATCTGAGACAAATAACATGAAATCTGGTTTTCAATGACTTTTAATGAACAAAATGATCAATTTTTTTTTACAATTGCTTTTGCAAATATGTCCAAATCCCAAATGTCCATCTAAGTAGAGCTTTAGGGAATAAATGATAATTAGGGGCAGCTCTGGTTAGAAAATTACTATAAACAGCCATAAATGTGCAGACAGTAATCTCACCATTGTTTGGGTCAATATAAAATGCGCCCCTAGTTGATGACATGACCCTGTAGGTAATCTTCCCATTCTCCCCAGAATCACGGTCAGTGGCTGTTACTGTTACGACTGCACTGCCTGCTGGGAGGTGCTCTGCTACGGTCACCTGTTGATATAAAAACACAACATGGACATATTTATAACCATTACAGATCCAATTAAACAAATATGCCAATTCTCTACAGACAGATGTGTGCATGTAGCCGCACCTGATACAAGTCTTGAGTAAAGGCGGGGGCGTTATCGTTCACATCATCCACAAGCACGGTGAGGTTGGCCTCGCTTTGATGTCTGGAGTCAGATGAACGGATGGTCAGCGTGTACCATGTCCGCTCCTCGTAGTCCAGAGGGCCAGTCAGAGATACTCCTCCCCCGTAACGATGGATTCCGAACATGCCTTGGCTGTTTGTATCCAGGTGTAGAGTGTAGGAGAGGGCTGGCCCAGAGTCTACATCGTTCCCTGTTACCTGGGTGATAACTGTGCCAATCAGAGTGTCTGTGTGTGTGAGAATAAAGTGGGAAGAAAGGAGAGGAAGAACAAATATTGAAGTTATAGTCGAAATGAAGTGGAGACTCAAATAATTTTTTCTCTTTAAATAAAAAATCCTGTTCTGGAAAGCCTTGATCTAATAGACAGGAAATGAACAGAGGAACTTGGCAATAACTTGTTTCATAATAGGGTCAGACTTTTCTCACTGAGCTTCGCTGCGAGAGCTGCCAGGGAGGGTGACGTGAGGCTTCCCGATAAGATCACTGGACTTACCCTCGGGCACATGGATCTCTCGAGGCAGAGGAATCATGGGACTGTTGTCGTTGAGGTCGATGATGATCACAGTAAGAGTGGCAGAGCCAGCCAGCCGTGGGGATCCCCGGTCTGTTGCCGTAACAACAAGCCTAGTGCCACAAAATCAGTGTCAGTGTCTGTGACTTTATGAATAACATATGGATGCATGCTGTGACACCCCCCACCAAGATCAGCCTGTTCTATGTTTGAGAATGAGCATTAGAAGATATATATATATATATATATATATATATATATATATACGTATATATATATATGTATATTCAGATTCAGATTCCCTTTTTTGTCACTGAATGTGATTCACTGAAATTTGCATTATATATATATTGAATTATATACTGTATATAAATATATATATAGACTCACTGTTTCTATTAAAATTAATAAAAATAATTAGATTTGAAAGGAATAAATCAAACAAAACAAGCTTACATATGTTTTTATATAAGCTTGATAACATGATTGATATTTTCTCTGTCAATTTTTCTTTTTTCTATAACTGAAAGCATTTTCGGAGTAGAGAGGATAAAAATGGAATCATCAAACTCCTTTTCAAGAAAATATGGACATTTAAACGTATGAGATCTAACTTAAGCCTCTTGGGGTCTCTCAATTTAAACAATAAAAAAATAACCTAGTTTGATGAAATTGTGAAGCATCTTGAAGCAGTGTTGTTGTCTTCAAGACCATTGTTGATAAAAATCTACCTGACATGACCCAAACCATGTACATGGATGAGGTGATGTATTAAAATGATGATTAACGTTAAGCAGCAAACTACGATGAATTATTATGATCCATTTACGAGTGACAGATACAAACAGTGGAGAGAAAAGGAAGCTGGCTAGCAGTGTGCTTTCCTTCTTCATACGTTATTTAAACTGGTAGTTATGGCAGAAACGGGCAAAGCCACAGGTAAAAGGCAACCAAAATGAAACTTCTTGTTGCCTTGAAAAAAATAGGATTGGATTTCTCTGGGTTTGACATTTTGGAAAACACACATACACATTTAAACAAAATACATAATAAAGGACTAGTCATTTTTATTCATTTTAATGGATTGTTTCTTTTGGGCTTCATTATTAAAACAAGGAAAGTTATTTGTAAGAGGCAATTGATATCATCTATAATTTAGCCAAGGGGAACCACAAGAAAAAAATAGTAAACTCACTTTGTCTGCGTCCAGATCTCTCTGTCCATTATGGCTGCGGTGGTGATGCTTCCAGTCAGTGGGTCGATCTTAAACAAGCCGCTCATGGACGACGACCTGATAGAGTAGGTCACCTGACCGTTTTGACCCTGATCCATGTCATCCGCTGCAACCTGAGGAAAATAGCAACCCATGTTGAAAATATAGAAGTATTGAACAGTAACGATAAACTAGAGAGTAAAATTGGACATGGAAGTCAAGACTCCACATAAAGGTCTATACTGATCTGGCTTCTGGACAAAAAAGGTTTCATATATTCAGCAGAGACACTGAGAACAAAGTTAAATGAACGAGGTCATTTCTGTACTCCACTGAAATTATCCAGGTTTTTGAGGCTTGAGTGCTTTCTGTTCTACAACTTCACACAGCCAAGCATAATAAACTTGTGGGGGGGCTGGCTACTGCACCTGGATAATGGGAAAATCGTAGCCCTGTGCCTCTCTAATGTAGGCTACGTAGTTCTGGAGTTGGAAGCGTGGCAAGTTGTCATTGACGTCCTGCAGGATTAAGTTGACAGCCATGTAGGAGCTGGAGGATGCCGTCTCAGCTTTCACCACAAGGCGGAGTTTCGGGGTCTCCTCATAGTCTAGGACTTCAGATTTCTGGACCCATATTTCACCTAATTCACAAAAATAACAATGAGTCACTGTACATGTAGAGTACATCATGTTGTAGTCAGTTCTGCTGTCTCTGCACTTACCAGTGATGGCGTTAATTCCGAAAGACTGCATCCTGTTTCCACTGAAAATACTGTAGCTGATGCCAGTTTGGGAGCCATCAGGGTACTGGGCTTGAGTCTGTGTAACTACTGTGCCTGCAAAGTTAAAAACATGTTCAAACATTTTAACTCTACTTTTTAATTCAAAAAAGAGGTTAAGGGTGGACATTTTACATATCATGCAAACCTTTTGCAGCGTTCTCTTGCAGACTGACATCTCTAGCTGTGCGGGAGAAACGAATCCCTCTGTAGCTCTGCTCCCTTATATAAATGATAACCACTCCGAGAGAAGATTGAGCCGGGTTGCCTTGGTCCATGGCCTGAACTATCAAAGTCCTTTGGCTTTGGGTCAGAGTTTGCAGCTTCTCCGTGGCCTGGATGTCTCCTGTCAGTGAGTTGATGGTAAAGCCCCTCACAGGGTTAGCAAAACGATAAAAAACAGAGCCGTTTGCCCCAAAGTCCTTGTCCTCCGCCCTCATGGTGGCCAGCACTCGCCGGCTAGACACACTAATGGCAGAGATGTTTACAATAAGTGGGTCCTGAATGAAAAAGGGAGCATTGTCGTTCACGTCTTGAATGTAGACGGTCACTTGAGCAGTGGAGTTGCGTGGGTTCGCTGGGGAGGAGTCAGTGGCACATACCTCGAAGGTGTAAGAAGCGGTTCTCTCTCTGTCTAGCGGCGCTGCTGTGATAATGCGGCCTGTGTTCTCATCGATGATGAACATACTCTGGGAGCCATGGCTCAGAAAGTACAGCACCTGACTGTTTGAGCCCTGGTCTAGGTCAATGGCTTTCACCTCAAGGACCAGGGAGCCAATGGAAACGTCTTCTGAAACATCTGCAGTGTAACTGCTGCTCTGAAACTGGGGGCTGTGGTCGTTTATGTCAAGCACAGTAACCTCCACGATGGCGGTGCTGCTGAGGGGAGGGTGGCCCTGGTCCTGAGCTGTGACTGTTAGGGTGTGACCAGCCCTCTTCTCCCGATCCAGAGGCCTCAAAGTGGACAGCACTCCTGATCGCCCGTCCAAGTGGAAGTCTCCAGATGGGTCTCCAGCTGCAAGAGAAGCAACCATTCATGTAATTTCTGATTTTGCAGCATCATTGCCCTGAGTTATACAAATGTAAAATTTTAGAAAACAGATTCTCACCTGTAATTCTGTAGTTTATCTCCCCACTGTCTCCTGCATCTTGATCAGTGGCTCTGAGGGTAAACAGAGGCAAAGCTTCCAGGTTTTCAGGCAACTCTATGCTGTAGTAGAGACGTCCAAACACAGGGACGTTGTCATTCTCATCAAGCACTCTGATCCTCACTGTCGCTTTAGCATAGTTGGGTAAGAGGCCTCCATCTTTTGCATAAACTGACAAAACAAAATAAAGAAGACAAAATTAATTGTGATAATAATAATCATTATTGTGATATGTATCTATAGTATGTGTCTTAAAGTCATAAGGCAGTACCTGTCACAGTGTAGTATTCTTGGACTTCCCGGTCCAGTGGCTTCGCGGTTGTTATGACACCTGTTACTGGGTTGATGTGGAAAACATCATCTGAGATACCACCGTACATCACCAGCCCATTAGTTCCTACAGCAAAACACACATAGTGACTGTCGTTTATTTCGAAACATATTGATTGTAAGGAAATAGAATACATTTAAAGTTACCAAAGCTCAAACAGCCAGCCTTTGGATTTACATGTCTCTCGGTAATAGCATGTATAGTTAATTGTTTATCATTAGTTTTTCCATGTCAGCGTTTGGCAGTGATGGCACACCCTCAGGTGTCTGAATGCCAGATTGCGTGCTAACACAGAACAGTCTGGCAACCTCACCTGTTTTGCCTCACTAATCGCTTTTGGAGCAAAACTTTATAATCCTTCTGTTTTATGTGCTTCTGACTAAGTCCAGGAGAATGCACCCTCTCCACAGCCCCTCCCCCCATTCTCCTGTGTATTCCTCAATTAAAAACAACTGCTAATGTCTGTAATGTGAACACGTACTTAGCATATGAAGGGTAATTGCAGGCATTTTAACGTAATTGCTGAAGCAGCACAGTTTGGTATCTCTTGACACTTAATCCACACACACACATAGAATCAGGCTTAAAAGGGTAAAACCACTTAACAACATAATTTGATGCCCACAGTACATATATGATTCAGGTAATCTGCGGTTCAGAAGATCAGGCTGAATTTGGATGAAACTTTTTTTTACAGATGTCTAGGTTACATGTAACTATACACCCTGTATAATCAGCATTTCTATGATTGTGTTTCAACATGTAGTTAGGACCTGTTTCACATCAAATACAGTCATTTAAGTGACATTGAAACAAGGGTTAGAAGTAAGTTATATGCCTAAAACCTTGTTTGGAAAGTTTAGCTTTTTGTTTTAACCAAATCTTATTTTGAACAGCAAATTACCAAGTTGGTGCCAAATGTTGGTTTAAAAAAAGAGAAACATGAACCAAAGCTGGAGTAACTACGAGAGTAAAAGCTGTTTATTTCTCACCTTGGTCCAGATCAGAAGCAGAAACTGTCAACACACTAGTTCCTGAAGGCTGGTTTTCAGAGATCTGGGCTTCGTACTGGCCCTCCTCAAACCAAGGCACCTCATCATTAACATCGATCACATGGACGCACAACAGCTGGCTTGACAAATGCTGCGGTATCCCATGATCCTCCGCGATTATCGTAAGGTTAAAGACGTCTTGCTCCTCACGGTCCAGAGGTTTGAAAATCGACAGAGAGCCTGCGGAGAGATGAATCAGGGGTGAAACGTGAGGAGAGATTTCCTATGTGCGTGTATGTGTGCGTGAGTATGCAAGTGTGGTTGAGTGTTCTTTATTACAGCCTGTTTCCCAGAGGCAGTTACACACGACAGCTACAGTATAAAAGCATGTTATCAAAGGCAATAAAACACACCACTTTCCACGGTTGTGTGTAGTCGAGTGATATAAAAAGCGAGTGTGAAAAGTTGCCGTGTGAGGGCCAAATCAGAGTTAATCTGCTGCACACACACAGCTTTGCCTACCTGAGTGCTACCACCACCACCACTGCTCTAACAGGCCGATAGTCTGGCCACAGTTTATGAGATTTTCCATTGGAGAATGCCGCAGCCATTGCGAACAGAGCAGTAAACACACGCTCTAGACACGCAACAGCCAGGCCTGCCGTGCTCTGTAGAAATTAGGGGCACCCTTGCCTTTTCATTATCCTGCCCTAAGAGGGTAGAACTTGCATTGATTCAATTTCAATTTCATGCTTTAAAATGGGCTGCAACTGTTAAAGAAAGAGTGGGCCAGGGCTGTTTTGGTTTTAACTTTTTTCTCTGTGTGTTTTTTGCTTTGTATTTTGCTTGGATTGAGATAATTTGCCCCCAAGCTTTTAATCTGGTCAGAGTTACAGGCTGGAATATTTTCACCAACTTTGAGTCCTCTGATCCTGTCCTATCCCTGGTCACTGATAACACATGGGCAGGACAAAAAAGCAGTGGGAAACTGAGGAAAGTTTTTATTTTTGGATGTTTTCAATTCCAGCATCTTAAGCCTATGTGGTTTGTGGCGCCAACACTTTGGATTGTAGTATCAGGGTTAGCTGAGGTTGCTCAGACAACAAACACATCTTTCTTGTCCTACATGCAGAAGTTTTTTATTCTTTTAACAACATTTGATGTGTTAATCCCTGAACGCCTTTTGCAGAGAGGCAATCACCCTTTGCACAGAAAGTGAAATTAATGACCTCCCCTCCAACAATGAGTGATGAGAATATGTCTCACTCCATGACATTATAGACTCCTAATAAAAGCTTGATGGTTCTCTCTGTTGTGGTTAACTGTGGTGCCAAAGAAATGAAAGCAGAGTGAGTGGAGATGGTCCCAGGTCTCTGGTTGCTGACCCCTAAACAGAAGCAAACCAGGTGTTCAGAGGATTAACTCTGTCATGATTCTAACAAATAACCAGTATGCATGAAAACACTTCAAGATGAGTGCACACACGGGGCTGAACCAGAAGTGACATGCATGACAGCCCCTGAATGTTTCCATCCCGAAGCAGCTCCAGGGGGCACGCTGGTTGGCGACTTGAAGGCGAAGGCGGAGCCATCGCCGACACGTGTCTCAAACACCACAACAAAGCCCACAGGACCAAATAGCCCAAGGTCAGTGCTGAGTAAGTGACAGGGTCTCATGCGAGCACACACACACACACATACACACACACATATGTGCGTGCCTACACACAGACACACGTGCGTACACATAAACACGCGTAACCGATCCCCTCTCTAATGGTTCCCAGAAGCCGGAGCAGGAGGCTCTTTGGTCTTTCATGGGAATAGATCCACAATAACAGATGATGGGCTGTGTGTGCATGCGTGTGCTTGCACATGTATGTGTATGTCTCGGTGGGTCTTTAATATTTGGCAGGCTGCTCTGTCTGTCTGGTCTCCAACTGAGAGAAATAAGTCAGGAGAGGTGAAGCAAGAGTTGTGCTGCACTTAGAAGTAAGCAGAGTATTGTAAATATTTGTGTGTGTTTATGGAGGGGGAGGTTTGGTGATTGTAGTGGGGGTTCGGGGGGCATATGGAAAGTTGAGTACACGTGATGTAAAGTTGACCTCAGAGGTGGGATAACTGCATGAAAGCCAATGAAAAGATCCGGAGGCATCTGAACTAATGCAGTTTTTTTTAATCAATTAAACTTAATAGTATTTCAATTATTTTAAGTACTTGAATAAGGAATTTGTATGCCACAATAATACTGAGCTCAGTACTGGAAATACACTGAGATCTGCTGCTGTTAACAGTGATACAAACGTTGATATCGAATGTGTTTTTTGGATTGACATTTCAAAATGAAACTTTGTGCATATGAATTAACTTTGAAAAGGGAACCGTACCGACCTACACATCCTCACTTTATGCCTCGCGATATACAGCACAAACTACCTCCAGCATTGGCCCAGACTTACCAGTGTTAGGGTTGAGGTTGAAAGTTCCTCCAGTGTTTCCTGACTGGATGCTGTAGGACACTCTACCATTCTCCCCCTGGTCTGCATCTCTGGCCATGACATACAAAGCCACAAAGCCCACCGGCTGGTCCTCCATCACACTGACGGCTGTCGGTGAGCTGAACACTGGTGGGTTGTCGTTCTCATCCGTTACGTACACCCTCACGGTGACAGAGCCCCAGCGCCTCTGGCTGACATCGAGGGCAGAGTCTGTCGCCTTTATAACCAGGATCAGGTTGGAGGTGACCTCATGGTCAAGCTCCCGGCCCAAGGAGAGAACCCCAGATGATGAGTCGAGGTGTAGAAGGCCTGGGGTGTTTGGCCACTGGTGGAGAATGGAGTACCTCACCTCGCTGTTGGGGCCACTGCCATCCTTGTCTACGGTCTGGAAAGTATAGACAGAAGAGCCGGGCTCCATACTCTCAGAGATGACGATGGTGATTGGGTCCTCAGGGAACTCAGGGGTGTGGTCATTGCTGTCCTCTACGTCAATGCCCAGGTGGACGAGGGTGCTGCTGGGAGGGACCTGAGAGAAGTCATCCACTTCAATGTGCAGGGTGTAGTGTGCGTCTCGTTCATAGTCAAGGGCGCGAGCCAGATAAACGTCCCCAGTAAGACGGTCGACAACGAAGGTTCCATCTCGGTCAGTGCCCCCAACCACTGTGTAGGTTACCTCGCCTTCCTCTGGGCTCTCTCTGTCACGTAGGCGGACTGAGCCAATGACAGAGCCGGGCTTGGCCTCCTCCACAGAGTTGAACGATAAGGAGAGTGAATTGGTGTTAGAATCTGGCCTGTTAATGCTGAGAACCTGCGGTGAAAGAAAAGAAAAACACTGTGTGTATAGTTGAGCACAAAAGAAGATGTCTGTGGATCTAATAGTTTGTTTATATGCCTGGTGGCAATTTCAGTTGGGATTTTTCAAAACAAAGATGAAAATATTTCATGGATTTTAGGGCAAAGCAAAACCAGACTTTGTCCAATCCAACTGCTTTTTCTCTACACGTTCACTGGGAATAAATTAAACCAGTTACAAGACGTTTTCGTAGACTTGAGTAACATGCTAACTAACATTAATCACACTTAATCTGAAACTCAGACGGCTGCCAGGAAAAATAATAAAGATGATAAAAAGTAACACAATCAGAGGAGGAATATGGTGAGAGGGCTGAATTTAGCACTTGGGTGAATTCCTGTTCTGCATATAGCTTTACACTTCTTTTGATGGCCAGTTCCAGTGTCTTCAAAGACGACAACATTATTACTTCTCTCTTTTCTATGAAAGGAGCACCATAATAACAAGTGACACGTTGTTTTAATAAAAGTTATTTTCTTTTAAGATGGGGGAAAAGAGAAGCAGCCATAAAAGGGAAGATGGGGAGGATGGAGAGGCTTTGTTGATCAAATTTGCAGCAGTGTTACTGATAGTGTTTTGTAAGCTGAAGGGACGATCTGGATAGTCTAGCATTGCATCCTACAGCACAGTTCCCACAGTGAGTAGGCATTCAATAAATACACAGTGTTTGTTGTGAAATTGTACATGACACGCTGTAAATTGGTTCCACATTAGATGGAAAAGAAGTGTTCCAGAGCGTAAATTGCTATCGTCCCATCCTATCAATGAAGGATTTCATAAATCTGTCGGAAAAGATGATTGAAGGAAATGCGTCAGTGGGCAAGAACCACATAGCACTGTTTAATCCCATTAACTAATAATTATGACTTTCATTTTTTTTTTCATTGTTGGAGAGGAAACAGAAACTTAACTGGCACTTACAAGAGCTGTTTATATGGCAACGCTGTTTTCTTGGAACCTATAAATCCAAGTTCCCTTCCAAAGTTCTTCCATTGTGTCCATTTTCTGGTCTATATTAAATATTAACTGAATTACCTTCAATGCTACATAAGTATATAGCCCCAGTGCTCTTTGCAAGAATGGCTACCGTGTAAAAAAGTGTTGAAGTCAGTGAATGTGACCTTGATCAGAGCGGTCTACAGCTGGGCCTCATCACGAGCCAGCTGGGAGTATTTGATTCAGACCCACTTTTCCATTTCAGATAGAAATTTCCCTTTTGAAAATTCACAGGGGAAGAAGAGGGAGGGGATGGGAGGGAAAGCTTGTCAGAAGTGAGGCTGATATGAGAGTCTGCAGCCAGTCTAAGGGGGCCCAGAGACACAGATCCTCTCGGCCCCCGGAGTCTATTCTTTGATATAAAGTAAGTGAGCGGTGAGGGTGTTTGTGCTGGCTGGGCTCCAGTGGAAGTCTGACCTGAATGGCGAGGGAGCAGGAGGTGCTGCGAGGGGGCAGTCCTCTGTCAGTGGCTGTCACCGTCAGCGCGTACTCGGAACGCTCCGAGTGGCTCAGAGGAGATGATGAACGCAGCTCGCCAGTGTTTGGATTTAAAGAGAAACGTTCAGCTCTGGGACCTGAGGGGGAGACACAGAGTCCAAACTTTCACTGGAGATGAAGTGTGTGTGTGAGGCCTGAATACATAAACCCCGACAAGTCAGTTTATTCAGCAAGTCTTTTTTTAGTTTCTAATCAAGGCAACCAAGGTTGCCTTGTTTATACACGGTTAAATTACTTTAAACTACAAATAGTACAAGAAAAAACTTAATCAAATCTAAAGAATAAAATTAATTCAACTGCCCTTAAACCTCAAAGACTTCTGCCACATCCTTAAACCATTAAAAGTAACTTATTCACATATGTATAATAAAACTTTCCATAATTATTTAGCATGGATGAAAACTCTTTACCTGACAAAGAGTACAATACGGTGCCATTCTCTCCTTCATCAGGATCTTTTGCTTGCAACATGCCCAGTAAAATCCCTGAAGACTGACCTTCAGTCACCTAATGATGAAAAAAAAATAAAGGTTATAACTTTGGACTTGAGAGATATTGTAATTTACGGCACGTTCGCTTTTCAGATCCATCACCTTTATGATGAGGTTTTTCCCAGACTGACTCTGGGTAAAAGTGGGGTCATTGTCGTTGTCGTCCAGGACGGTGATGAAGGCTGTGCCTGTGGCGCTACGAGGGGGCGAACCTCCGTCTTGCACCACCACCACCAGCTGGTAGCTCGACTGCTGCTCTCTGTCCAGAGTCGTCCTTGTGCTGATCTCACCTGGGGAGAGTAAGAGGTGGATGAGAGTAATTTCATGCCGAGGCACAAGTCCAGAGCACTGGAATAATGATGAGAGATTTAGGAGCCTGCGGGTTTTGATCAGTGACACACAAGTAGCAGACACGCACAGTGCGCAGATGTTCGTGCACATGTGTACGTACACTCTCTCTCACACACACAAATAGAGGAACTTTGGAAGGTTGGCAGACACTGTAGAGACTCACAGCTCAGCCAGAAACTGATACAAATCAGAGTTGGAGTCTCCACCCACAGACTAACAGGCTCAGCAGGCTAATTAGAGCCCAGCAGGAGGCTCAGTGCTGCTGTCGCCATCATCTGACTAATTTATGACAATAGGGAAGAGGCAACTGTTGTTTCTCATGTTTTAGAGAAGACTCACTGGGTTGACTAAACATCGATTAAAATTTTCCATGTGTAATTTCAATTTTTGATGACAAAGTATAACAAGTATTTTTTGTGAAATCATGATAGTTTGTTTTTCAAATTGAGGGCAAAAGGATATTTGAGCTCATGAAGAAAGGAATGAGTTTAAGTAAATTTTGGCTCAACCTTTAAAAAAGTTTGAGTCAGACCATTTTGAGTCAGAAATGCTGGAGGACATCCAGAATTACACAAATGTTATTAGCTGTGCAGCCCTTCTCTTCTTCTGTCAACAGCAGCTTTATTACAGCATGACACTATCATCAGCTAGTCAGCTCTCCCCTCCACATCTTGGTATATAAAGGGTTTTGCATGAATGCACACAGTTTCTTTGGTTACCTAATGAAGCCAACCTCAAGAATACACATTAATATTTCAGCACTTCATTCCAATAAACCAGTCGAGACTATGAAAACATGACATTTCCAATTAACCTGTGTGGGAGTTTATTTGGAAGTGGCGGTCAGGGTGCAGGAAGCGATAGCTGAGACGTCCATTGGGGCCACTGTCTCTGTCTGTGGCCGACGCGTAACCAAAGCCTGTTCCTGCAGGCAGGTTCTCCCTCACAGCCATGAAGACCCTCTCCTGAGTGAGCCTGGGGGAGTTGTCATTCTCATCGGTCACCGATATCCGCACTGTGGCACTGCCCGTCTTCTTTAACTGCCCGTGACCTGCACTTGCCAGCACTGTTAGGAGATACATGTCCTTGACTTCTCTGTCCAGGGCGCTCTTTACAAACAGCCAGCCACTGTCTGCTGCGATGCCAAACCCTGCAGCATCTCCATCTGGACGCAGGTGATATGACAGGGGACTAAAGTGGCCCGAGCCAGGGGTCTCTCTGTTCAGGGCTCTGACTTGGAGGAAGTTTGTGTTTATCGGGGTGCCCTCCTTTAATTCCACACGGTAGGTAAGGGTATCAAACACAGGTCCCTGATCATTCTCTGCCTGGACGTGAACAACAAGCATGAAGGTGGCGCTAAGCTGGGGTACGCCATTATCCTTGGCAATCACCTGGAGGTCATAACGAGGGTTACTTTCATAGTTGAGGCTCCCGACCAATCGGATCTCTCCACTGCTGCGATCTATGCTGAAGATCCTCTGATTTCCACTTGGAGAAGAAAGGTCAAAGGTGAGATGTCCATTGACTCCTGAGTCTCTGTCCTCAGCTTGGACCCGATACATCACTGTGCCCATTTCTGTGTGCTCTGGCAGCAGCAGCGACTCCGAAGATGAGGGCAGAAAAACAGGCGGGTTATCGTTGATGTCTACGATGGTAATGTGGACACGGGTTTGGCCAAAGGCAGGGGGTTTTCCACTGCGGGCCTGCACCTCTAAATCAAGAACTGACTGGGCTTCGTGATCCAGGGGCAGACTCGTCCTCAAGGCCCCAGTGTCAGGATCCACTGTGAAGTAACCCGCAGGGTCCCCAGAGCTGATGGTATAGGAGATATCTTTAGAGCCTGAAAAGACACAAACCAGAGACATGTCACCACATCCCAGGAGGCTGCACTAAAAGCAGCAGAGTCATAGTACACTGCAAAGATGTAATTTTTCAATTTTCCCGACAGTAATAGCTCTTAAAATTCAGAAAACGATTATATAAACACAGTTGTGAAATGGAATTTTTTGATTGATGTTATTTCAGAGTTAGGTGTGTATAGTGGCTCAACGCCTATTTGTTCAAGTGGTACAGGGAGCAGAAAAGATCCAGTGTGACTGATAAATGTGTAGTGAACAGTTCAATATGAGCTGAGGGACACAAACGTGCGAGTGAGTGAGTGAGTGAGACGGAGATGATAGTGTAGATATGTCTTCCGTCCTAACCTGTCTTGCTGCTGGCTTGGACGATGCCTACGACTGTTCCACGCAGGACGTCCTCCGACACAGTGAAGTAGTACTGGGTCTGTTCAAACACAGGAGGCGCCACCAGCCCCGCCACAACGCTAATGTTGACTCTGGCATTGACGAGAGCGACCAGACCACCACCATCCTGAGCAGAGACCACCATGGGAATGACAGAGTTGGCCTTCCCGTAGACAGAGCGAGACAGGGAGATCACGCCTGCAGATGGGTTCAAAGAATCATTTTTACAATTTCAGGATGAATTTACAAGAATGTATGCGTCAGCCAACAAGTACAGTTTCAGTTTTCATACATTTGCTTCAGTTTCAGTCAAAAAGACCCTAGACGCGGACTTGAGATATCATGGTCAGGAAGCCAAAAAAATGATTTGTGAGGCCTCAGTGATCTTGTCACCAAAATCTAACCGATTAATCTGCAAGCGTAAGTGAACATTTTTGCAGAATTTGAATTGATTCTCTCAAGGTGTTTTAAAGACTACGGGGTCTGGAATAAAAACACAATCATTTAGTGTATTCAGGAAGAGGAAAAGTACAAACCTGTGTCTTTGTTCAGTGTAAAGAATGGGGAGGCCCCTCCAGGAACTGTTTTGTATGTAATTCTGCCGTTCTCTCCCGAGTCCGGGTCATAGGCCGTCACTCTGACAACAGATGTCCCCGGGGCGCTCTGCGTGCTCAAACTAACAGCATAGCTGACTGGGTAGAAGGCGGGCCTGTTATCATTAATGTCGACCAGATCTACCTTCACATATGCTACTGAACTCAGTCCACCCTGCAGAGGAAACAAAAAGCCCTTTTGTTATACTTTCACTCTAAATCAGGGGCAAAAAAACACACACACCTGAAAGCAGGATTTAGGCCACATTAATGGCACCTGTAAAAACCAGCGGTAAACCCTGTTAAAATTTCGATGTATAGCGTAACCTCTAAAATATAGTCCCAGCAGGTTCGTGGAGGGATACAGATTGATAGTTTCCCTCGGGAAAGAGCCATATGTCATGACCCGTGGAGGGCGAGAGAGCACGCCTCAACCAAACAATCTGTTTCATAGGCTTTTTCTCTGCAGAAAATACAGTGCAGGCTTTTCATTTGGACCAGGTGGCAAAAACGAGGGAGGCGGCAGTCCAACTTGTTAAAATATTACTGCCTGACAGTTAAGGCATTTCTCCATTCTCTGATTGCTTTAACATAACCGCAGTAACTTTATTTCATATCTAACCTTTTTATTTTCTAAGTATTATCTGGCATAATGTGAACAGGATGCTATACTAACTTTGGAGTGAGCCTGCCGCTGAGAGCTTTTATTTTTTACATGGCTGCTCAAATCAAAGTTTTTCCGCACAGTTGGCCGTGCCTTTGCTCTCTTGTCAGTCTGAAAAGTACGGCTGCTGGTTTTATAGGATTACTCCGTGGCTCAATAGATTCACATTAAGCATGATTTCAAAACATGGTGGCTCACCCCGTCCACTGCAGTAACAGTAAAGTCGAAGCCGGCCGGCCCTTGATCTCTGTCCAGTGAAGCACTAGTGCAGATCTGGCCTGTCTCCTTGCCAATGGTGAACTGAGAGGGAACAGCGCTGTTAATGCCAGAGCCCAGGGAGTAGGTAATGGAGCCAAAGGAGCCGCCGTCTGCATCCGTCGCAGTCACCTAGAGAGGAGAAACAGTGATATTGGTCAAACCTTTATCGAGTTGGAATGGATAAACTCAGCATTTCCCATGTTCATTAAAAAACATTACTTGAAATCCACAGCAGATCAAATCCAAATTCTATCCGAGGATGTGAGATAGTCCACAGACCAAAACAAGAGCACCATACCAGGTGTCTTGTGAAAGCATCTCTGGACTAATTCTTTGTTGTTTATCTGAGCCAGAGCATGAGCCAAACAGGCCCTTTGGCAGAAAGGGGCTCAGAGGGAATGAAAGGGGTTGGCGGGGCAGAGGATGACTTCCACAGGCTCTGGGAGAGCTGCCAGTGGGGGAAAACTGCCTGCTTCAGGAGTGGCGTCTGTCTGCAGAGGACAGTGACAGGGACGGCTGGGGGAACAGTGGGATACCACACAGCATGCTTCAGTGCAACACATTATACCCTAATGTAATGTCCCGCTCGTGGTCTGGTTTTAATAACACACCGCACATCGACAGAGGCCTGGAACTGCTGGAGCTATAAAAGCGGCTCACAAGCCATCAGCCAGGGTGCCGACTCAATTACTACAGAATCTCCCAAGACAGCACAAAGGCAAACAGACCAATCAGATCGGCCCCTAGGTGCCAGCACTGTAATTGTTTGCAAGTGTTGGGTCTGGATCGTAGTTTGCAAGAGATTACGGTTGGATTAAACCTCACAAGTTGATTAGAATTCTTCTTCCCACCTTTTATAAATGGATCGTTTTCTTATCTGGGGATAAAGAAATAGAAGCTCAAATTATGCTCAGCAACAACAGGGAGCCCCCTTTGCGTAAAAACCGAGTTGTCATCAGGAGCATTGCCAAGAAAAATAAGGGAAGCCTTGCTTATCATCAAAAGCCGACTCTCTGATGGCATCACTGCGAGTGTGAGGAGATGGAAATCATTCATTCGAGGTGATGAAGCTTCGGTTGCGGTAATTCAGGCTCCGGCTCTTTCCTGAGCAGATGGCAGACGGGGGACTCGGCAGAGAGCATGCCCCTAACTCCTAACAGAGGGTGAGTGGTGCGTAGGAGTGAGGGAGTAGTAAAGCTGGCAGAGACGCAGGCCGAGGAGAAGAATAATAAACCACATGAGGAAAGGGGAAACCAAGAGCAATACAAGCAAGCCACTCCATCTTTTAATGTGCATAGGCTGCAGTTTACTATAATATTTTATCATTTTGAAGGGGGACAAGTTATTTATAACAACTCTGCAGCGTTATGTGCTTGTTTTCTCCACAGCTGTTTGATGAGTGCCGGCTGGAGGTTAACATGAAGGAGCGTTTTAGCATGAATATCAGGGTTAAATGTTAAAAAGGCAGCAGATACGGTAGAAACATTTCCAAACAGATCTGTAAGAAAATATTTCCTCTGGTGACTCACCCATTTTTTTGGCAGTGAACGTACAGCCTATTTGAAGAGACTCCATGTTGCTTTCCGTTTTAGCCATAATTATCATAAAAACGTTTTTTTTTTTCTTTTACAAAGTACAATCACATACAGCACATTAAAAAACATCACATGTAGAAAGTCTACATTTATCTTTCCAGTATAATAACTTGTAAAGGAGAAAAAGACAATAACTTTTACTCATGTATCATGAGAGGCTCCCAAAGGTGCCCTGATGGTGCCTGCCTGCAGTATGGCTCATAAATCCAACCTCATTCATGTAAGTGGATGAGACGCTGCTCATTTGTCTGGTAAGTTTGGTTTTAATCAATTACTGGTTGCAATTAAAAACGCAGTGAACCGACTCGCGATTGGTTGAGATCGCTAATGAGTAGACTCCGGTTCCAAGATCGCAATGTTCATATCCAGGATTTTTTTGGCTTCATTCCAGGGTATTAGGAGGAGGTGAATCCCTGTCGTCCATAACTATTTAGAGTCTATGATTTATAATGATACACAGTAAAACACACGTTCAGAACAAGGGGCCAGGTTCAAAAAGTTTCAACATGAGCAGATTGCAGTGGTACAGTGTGTGCTACAGAGATACTGAGTTCATCAGAGTTCAGGCCATGAAATGAATTTACATGAGGAGGATCCACTGCTTTTCCCAGTAGTCAAAGTGCTGAGTAGAGTAGTCAGTATATTCGGAGCCCTTTGTGGTTTGAAAACCTATATTCCTATAGAACGATATATTCCATGAGTTAAGTGACTATTTGGGGGGATTTGCTGTCAGATAATAAACCACACAATCACATTTTCAGGAATCTTAACCACTGTAAGTAGATTGCCGGGAGCAATCGCTCTAAATTTGGAATCTGCAGAGACTGCAACTTCACTTCTGTTCACACTCATAGGTTAATAGCGGCATATCAATGTCATCTCACTGGAACTGGAGAGGCTCGTTTGTCCAGGAGACAATTATAATTTGCAAGCCACTCATACGAGACCGTATATGCAAATGTAAAATGAGCAGTACAATTAGCCAGACCACAAACCACAACCTGAAGAAATGAGGACAATCTGACATAATGTGGCCTCTGGCGTCAACAATTCTGCCATAAAGGTTTGATAAGAAATGATAAATCTGTAACACAGTGAGTGTCAATTTCAACAGATGAAACCAGAATCTCACAAAGTCTAAAAGATTGAAGCTTGGGATGTTACGTAACGCTACAGTTCACAGCAAGGAGTCCTCATCTCAATACTTTTAATTTGTACACTCATCTATTTTCTTATTCTGTCTAAACCACATTCTTTGAGTCTTTTAGATCTTTTCAGGAGGTGGATCCAGGATTTTGTTTTCCACTTTCTTTAACATCGTGAGATGTTTTTTTTTTTTTTTACATTTTCACAATTTTCCCAAGGAATCATTCATGGATATTGATTTAAAAATCAGGCTTATGTAGGGAAGTAACATCTTGTGACATTCTGTTCAGTTTCATTGAATAGAAGAGGACTATTGGCTTTGGTGGAGGTATACACTCTATCTAGTTACAACCTTCTCTAAATGGACATCATAGAGGACATTGTGCATCAAAATGTAATTTAAAATGTGCCAGTCATGAGAAGAAATTTTTGACCCTGCAGGGGGGGAGGAAAATACCATACAGCACTTTGTTCAAGCCATTTGACATGGATACGAGGGGGCCTCTCTTTTTCTCTTTCCACTGCAACATATAGGTATTACGCAAGCTGTATTTTTATTGGATTAAAAGTTCAAAAGCTGGAGAAATCTTAGATCATCAGCAGCAGCCAGCACTATTCTCCCTACACTCCATGTTTTGAGTGAGGCATGATGGGAGCTGTCTTATCAGCAGGGGAAAGGCAACGTTTGGCCGAGGCCTTAGTAAAACAAGCTGGGAGAATCCAACGATAACTGGGGCACTCTGTGGTTCTCCCATCAGATTCTAGAAGCTGTCTGGAGAGAACGTCCAATCAAGACAGCAGGATTCACAGGAAAGAGCACATCTTTATATATGTTTATGTATAATCTGTTCAAATGGAATAATGATCCAGAGGCTTTTGGATGCTCCGATGTGTTCTGGCCCATCTCATATCCCAACTCTGTGGTCTGAGACCGAGAGCCAGGCCTGGAAAAGAACATGTCCAGGATTTGTGTGGTTTCTATTTTTAGTAGTAGAATTTTAGACAATTCTCGTATATGATTTAGGAGCGTAGCTTTCCGGTTCTGAAGTTTTTGAGGATAATGTATGTCAGTGTGACCTTACTTGCCACACGTGATGGTGAGCTCCCCATCTTCATTGTGCAGCCATGCAAAAAAGCTTCACCATGGAACTTAAAACTTGTGCTAAATCCTAAGAGTAAATGAATGATATAGAGGTGAAACCACTGAGGCCAACAAGGGGTGAAATAAAGGCGATCTAGTTTTCAATCATGCTCCCTGTATTTTCAAGTGCCCAGTCAAACAAATCTGTCTCACGTATAGTCCTCAGTGAAAACCAGCCAATTGGGACTGCACCTCTGCCAATCTAAATAGGCCACAAATGACGGAGTGCGCATTGCAAATGTTTGCCAACTGGGAAATTATCGCACACATCAATCAAACTCTCGCTGCACACGTCCTCTGAGTGTACCTTAGACGTGTAAGCAGAGACACAAACATACAAACACTAGGAATAAAGTCAAAGAGCGAAACCAAGTTCATTTTGCACTCCAATTACACTGAAATCTCCATCTTTGTATTCTGCAGTAACTACGCAAACAAACCAAGCACAGATGAGTGTGCAGCCGTGGCTACTGTGTCTCTGGCCCACATTAAACTTTGCAACTTTGTGGCATAAAAGAAAATACTGGATGTCATTTCTAAATCTCTTTAGCTCAGAATTATGACTGATCCTATTTCTATCTCAACTTGGAGAGGGCTGGAACTTAAAGCACCAGATGTGACACATTGGCCAGTTGGCAAAGCAGCTGAAATGGGTTCGAAGACGCACTTAAGTTACAGAGATCAGTGTGGATGTTGAACAGGAACACATTTCCATCCATTGGGATCTGGCATAAAGAGAACCTTGTTTATTGTACGCTGAAGACTTGTTAAAAAAAATGAGAGGTCCGAGAGCTCCATCCACTTTAGCTGCCATTTTTATCATGAGCAGATAAAACTGCACTTTATGTAAATCTGTTCACAGCTTTTGACTAACATGGTCTCCCAAAATGGAAATCTTTCAGGTTTCTTCCAGGCAACTTCACAAACATGACTAACTGAGCCTTTAATGACACGGCGTCCACACGAGTGATTGGAGGCAGCGTGTGACCGACCGTTTGATTGACATGGAGATCATTAAAAGACAGTAAAGGCAAAGCGGAAAGCGTAGGCTCAAAGAAATCAAATGAGTGGGCGCGTTGCAGAAATCTGGACTGAGAATTGCTTTGAGCTTTCACAGCTGGTGTGAAGCCGTGTGCACCCTCCTCTCCCTCTATTGTCCTGGCATGGCTTCTAAGGAAAGCAGAGACGAGGAGAGGCGGAGACCTCCTGAAGGCCTCTTTCACTCCTCGCTAAAGTAGCAGATAGGCAGGTCAGAGAGTTTGTGACATGTCCGCCACCACACTTAAGACCCAGAGTGAGACCACACCGGCACGGCGGAAGGAAGACGCCCACGTTGTGTTGACAAATATATCAGAACTCCAAACATTTGCAGCACATACAATATTGACCAAACGTGTGTGAGGGATTTTTTTGGGTGGTTACTCAGCAGACAAAAAGCCTGCATAGTTCAAGACACGTGTAAGATCTACTTAATGGTGAAAACATTTCCCAACTGTGGCTTGTGAAGCCTGTGATGAAAGTTAATGGGTTTAAAAATATGCTCCAGCTAAAACAGAGTAAGACACATGTCCAAATAACATCCTAGTGCCCTTGTTTTGTTCCCAGCAAGTCTAATTATGAATATGGAGAAGATCTACATAGTATGAGGAAGCCTGAGCTCTATTACCTGGCTGAATTTTGCTATGTTACACTATACTGTGCAGTCTAAGGGAAACCTGAAGAACAATTGCTGTGTATGCTGTGTATTCCTCTAATGTACTGTAAAATGTAAAGTTGAAAACGAGGGCTAATTAAAAATACACAGGCATATTTCCATGTAAAAGCAAAGCAGCTAATTGCATTGCAAAATAACAATATCCCCATAAGCTTAACTTTGGAAATGAGGTTTGTGGCATTTGGGAAAGACGATCAGTTGCTTAAAATGAATTAATATTCAAACTTCATAGCGATCTGTTGGATTGATTATGATACTTCCTGTCTACCAATTAAAATGTTGCCTAATGCTGACAGTGAAGGTGGATCAATGTAAAAAGGCTCAAATTGTTATTCCGGGTCTTTGCTATGAGTCTAGGAACATTACAGGTGTCTCGCTCAATGAGGAGTTGTTGCCGGAAGACGAAGGTGGAAACTCGACAGAGAAAGAGAGAGAGAGCGTTTTCCTGATGTGGACAATGTCTATGAAGAATTTGACTGAAATATCTGCCCCGACTTGTTTGAGTTGGAGTATATGGATGGCAGGCTCCTACAGGAGACAGTTACAAGACACTCTGAATAATAATTTGACCCTTTAATGAAAAAGGCTTTTGGTTGGGGGCAAATCTTTGTGTGTGGCCTGCAAAATAACTTCTATTCACAGACTCAAACATGGCAACTCATGCATGGCTGCTAAACGCAACATTTTACATCGGGCCTCGATTATTCTTTGCATAATGTGTGTTAAAATGTTACACTGAAATCGCCGCAGAACAAACAAGTTATGTGGGACTATCTATATTCATGATTAGCAATTCAAATTCACAAAACCTCCCTCGGTATCCCTGCACGACTTCACATAACAATCCATTCCAGATTTGTCGATTCATTTCTCATGTGCAGATGTCCACTGAAATACATCTGCTGTGTCTGGGTATTCCTGTTAAAAACCATATAAGTGTCAAGGTCAGCCAGCATCTTAATCACACTGATTTCTCCCAAAATATACAGTTGTGGGAAGTTGCCAAATCACATCATCCACAACTGTCCCTTCTCTATGGAAATGGGTTCCAACTGTCCCTGCTCGACTAATGGTTTGACCAGTCTGGAGCTGCTAATAAAATCCATTACACATGTGCTGAAGGATAAACATGATAACATTTACAACCGATTTTCCAGGAATGATATGGTCCTGATATAATTCAGTTGCTCAGCTTAAGTAACTTTTGGCAACTTTTGGAAAAACTAAGCAACTTTTGTTTGACTAGTCTGCAGCAAGAAAGCAATTTCATGGCACGTTTAAGGCCCTGGCAGATCCTACTGTCCTAAGCTTTTGGAATAGAATTTGTCTCAGCATAAAAGGAACTAGCTTCTGACACAGGAAGACAAAGAAGTATTGATTTCAAAATCAACAATTGTTCCACCGACTGCAGCTTTTCATCTCTCCCTGGGCGTGTAGTGCGCCGACATAAATGTAAGGTTCACATATCTGGCAGAGGAACAGAGGGGAGGGTAATATAGCAGACAGGGATATAATGACACTTAGTGCTAGAGTGCAGACACAGGACAGGATAAGGTTTCTGTCTTTTTCCTCTCCTGTCACAAATCACTCAGCATAACGGCTGCACTGCTGAAAAAAAAAAGAGTCAAAACATCATGACAGAGTTTCTGTGATTGAAGCGGGTAGAAGGTCAGGGCGTTGATAGATTTTCTTGTCTCTTCTTTTAAGATTAAAATGTCTCAAGGATTGCTGGTGCATCCCTCTTGTTGTTGCCTGAAAACCACAAGGTAAATGCAAATAAAAAAAAAAGAAAGAATTCCAAATGAACTATTCCTTTGTAAAATGAAATGCCCTTCTGTTGACACAAATTCCAGCCTCCAAGTGACATTTGGTTAAAGTTTCCAGCACAATAACAGCTGAAGTTTAAAAACTCAATCCCTTATCAAGTCGCAGCTTGGCATTCATTATCATAAATTTGTGCTAATGAACGTCTGGTAAGCAAGAACCCTATCATTGGGTCTGTATGTAATGTAAATAAAGACAGAATCTAACAGCATGAGTCTTAAGAATAAAGAATATCTTTCTATATATCTTTTTTTAAATAGAGTTCAGACTTACATCAAGGTGTTTCTGAACCTGCCAGCTTTCCAAACACATTTATTTTTTAGGTCTCACAAAACTCGCAAACTATATGGAGGCCCTCTTTGTAGTTTGCAGTTTAAAAAGTTGTAACAAACCTCATTTATTAGAAGTTGGGTGGCTGGCACTTAAAAAAAAAAAAAACTTTCATTAGACTTTCTTCTAAAAACCGAAGCGTCTGTCTTTCATCTGGACCTCGCATATGGAAGTGATTAAGCATCAAACCATTTAAGAAGAAAAGGGTTCCAGAAAAAGGGCTAAATGAGCAGAGAGGAGAGATATTGTGTAACTGAAGGAGTAAAGTTAGAGCTAATAGAGCTGCATGAAGTGAAAGCTACTTTCAAGACCAGACATCAAGACTATTTCTAAGCTTTTAAACTATCTGTGCAGGTTAATTAAGCATCTACTTTATTTCCAATTGAGGGTGAGAAAGACCTCCCCTCCTTTCTCACACATGTAGCTGCTTTATAAAAGTTTCTGTGAATCCGAAGGAATGTGACGCCAGCACCTTGAAAACAACTTTAAGGGTTTTTTAAAGGCCCTCTGGTGTGCACTAACCCATACAGTGTGTGATAAGGACCATGTTCCCAACAGGTAAACTGAGAGAAAGTGATTTGTGGCTCTTATTTATAACAAAGAAGAAAGAAAAACCTAATTTTGAGAAGCATAGCATGGGGACTTGGTAAAAGGCTTCATACCAGACATGGTGCCGATCTCAGTGTACAAGCTCACAGCAGCTTTTGCCACCACTGACATAATCTCTGCACACACTATTGGGGATGATTTTCAAGTAAAAATAAACAAGAAAGAACTCAAATGGAAGTGTGAGGGTACTAGTGTGTGTGGCATTAACCCTTGGCCAGCTGCAATGACAGAGGCAGCTCAGTATCCCCTCTGTGCGACACTGGCTCGAAGACTTCAGCTTGTTTATTTTCCGAAGCTGAAATGGGAGAAACAAACCTGCCAGTATTTTCTTATGCATGTTGACCAGTGGTTAGCCAATGGAAAGAAAACAAAGAGAAAATTGCTGGAGTCTGAGTTGGTTCTAATGAAGAATAATCATTTTGAGTGACAATCCCATAACAAGATGTGGAGGTTAGAAGAGGGAGTCTAACTTCAAGCCCAGTTTAATGATTATGATCAATGTAAAATTGTTTTATTTTGCCATTATCAGTTTTTTTTGTACGCATTATATTTTGAGCAATCTAAACTTGAACTGGAACAAAAACATACTTGACAATTCATTTCAAAAGGACACAGCACTGATGAAATATTAATTCATGCAACATTAGTTTATGCAAATTCCCTAAACTGAAGCATAAATGCAGCACTTTTAAATCGTGTATTATATTTTACAATAATAGACCCTCACATGATTCAATATCAGCACACACTGCTGAAGTAACCGCTAATAAACCCAAAACACACACAGTCACACACACACACACACACACACACACACACAAGATTCCCCAGTGGAGCCTATTAAAAGCTTCTAATCCTAACCCATTGGGGGGTGAACCGATGCTCGAAGCTTGCTGAGGAGATCCACTCTCACAAGACATCGACCAGTCTGAGGTGTTCTCGTGTCAGATACCTGTGGAGCTGGCCCCCGTCAGCCTCTAGATTGGCTCTGATTCAGCCAGTCATCCCTTCTGCAGCGATCCAATTGCTGCACTGAGCTCAGGTCTGCTGAGGTAAGCCAGGCAGCGGATCCCAGGGTCTGGGGAGGTGGGAGGGGAGCTAATATGAACCATGCACAGCATGTGGGGGTGCAGGAGTTCTGATGTGGGCTCAGCTATAGCGCTACAGCTGTCTGCAGTGGGTGGGAGGATGCCCACTGAGCAGGGCATGCACAAACACAGCACAGATGCGGTTGCAGAGTCAGATAAGGCCCTGGTTCCCAGACATCCATGGTCTTGTTTGATGAGGTAGAGACTTTAATGTTAGTTCGTAGTTTTTCTTCTCTTCTCTTCATGACGAGATCTACAGGCTGCCTCATTCTTGCGATCAAGCTGACTTTCATATGTTCTGATCATAACAGGCAAAAAACACCCCTGCATTCATCATTACAGGACCAGTGGAGTCACATTTACCAAAGTCCTGAAGGAGACAGTGAACTGCTTTGGTGTTCATGATCTCAAAAGAGATATTCAAAACTGCGACCATGCAGTACCTTGCTTTGTAGGTCAACTCACAGCAGCTTTGGGTATCACTAGTAATGATTAACAAACTAGAGACGTCAGATTCAAATTGCCTGTGTAAAAAGTTTGACTGATCATAACGCAAAACTTTCTGCTCTGCTTTAAGATTGTTCGGGGAAGAGTTACATTTCCTTCAGGAACTCTCTTCTACACACAGAATCACACACAGATGCAGGGTGTGCAACGCATATGGACACCGATACAGACATGCACAGAAAAAATGCACGAGCAGTATTAACATTGTGTGCATTTACACTCTTGTTCCTGCGAACCAGCTGAGGTCAGCAGTTAAGCGCATAAGACTGGGATCGGTCTGGTTCCCCAGCACAGCAGAGGGAGCCAGATCTGTAGTGAGGCAGGGACCAGAGTCTCCCAGAGCTCTGTAGCCTTTACTGTGCAACACCGGTAGAGCTCTAATGAAAAACCAAAACTTCATCCCTCAATCTGCCTCCATCTTTCACAGGGTAATGAGAAATGGGAAAAGCACTGCACAAGAGTGCAGAGAACAGCAGACGCTCTCAGGGGGTGGAATCGAGCGGTGTCATCTCATATGAAGGACGTGTTTATCGACAGTCATAGTGCCATTGTAATTTCATTTCAGCTCGCTGCTAAACAGTAATTAAAGCAGACAGTTTGGAAAGAAAGAGGCAGTCCGTCGTGTCACTGAGTGCAGCTGCTTATGTAGAGTGTCTAGACCTGTCCAGTCTCAGGAGGAGGATCACACAAACAAATTGCAAACGGGAAGATGTTCTATATTTGCAGCGATCTAAGTGTGAGGAATTTTTAACCCATGATGAAGTTTTCTAAATTGCATCCTTTTCAGTTCACCATTCGTCTTGTATACATTGAAGTTAAGATTCAATGTTCTGTATGCGTTCAGTGTCATTAAAGTTGGTACTTGAAATAGCTTGACAGAGCCACTTACTGCAAGGATGTAAAATGTAAATAAATCAATAGATCATCAGCCCGGAGCTTATACTCTCTCTAAATGTATTAGGCAGTGGCTCCACTTAATGACAGCTCATGTCATTACTCAGTTTTCTCAACCCAGGCAGTGGGAGCTCTACATAATGATGAGGCCGACAGATTTTTCCTGCTGTGATGTGGCTTTGAGATAATCTGACTTGACCGTAATTCTGCGGCCAAGAGGCAACGACACTTAATTCAACATCCACTTGGAGAAAAACTCATATCAGCCTTTCTCCGAGGAGAATGAGTTCTGATCTTGTTTTCCAGTCACACGAAGTACATGCATTTAAAGTCAATGAGTGAAAAGTTGATGTTCGATTGCTGTATTAAATCAATTTCAGCTGCGTGTCATAAAGTCTAAAGCTAATAAAAAATTGGACATTTTCAACACACGAATACATGTGTGACAGTTGTTAGGGTGTCTGCAGGACACTTTTGAGCAGTATTTTTCACATGTCTGTCTCACATCTGTCTGAGCGATCACATGCGTCCTCTGCTGCTGAACAGATCATATTTTCAATCAGTGCTTTTCGTCTACATCAAACAAGTAACGGCCCGTGCTTCATTTGTTCTTCACTTTAGGTCTCTCGAGAGATCCCGCGTGTCCTTGAGTGTTGGACTCTCTAAATTCAATCATCCATGTCGCCATTCAAGCATGCAAACATTACTGCAAGCCAACTGTTAAGAAAGAGGTGATCAACGCATCTCCAGCTCAAACCTTGGAGCTGCTACGGCTTTATTGCACTGCTCTGTAGTAATGTAATCAGAGCTGAGGGAAGAGGACGGAAACACTCTCCTTCACTCTCTGTGGGACGGGGTGGGGGCGGGGTCTGGGCACCGGGGTCACGAAGGCCTACTGGAACCGTGCACATAAACACACCCTGTCACAGACTGATAAACACTGCAAACAAATGAAGGCTGCCTGGCCCCGGCCCTGCAGTGCACGTGGCTTCTCTCTCCAGCAAAGTCTGTTTCGCTGTAAGCCCGGTCCTGAAGGAAGTCATCTCTGGTTCAGATGTGGGTCGGACACATAAAGAAAACAGCTCCTCTGGCAACAGACACGGTTCGAAGAGATGAGTGTCTGTTTAGATATCTCTCTTTTGTTTCTCAGAGTAATTACAAGTCACCACGGCTTCATGCCGGGCCGTGCAGGAAAATCACAGCCAGATAAGACAGATGAGTGCACACGGACACACGCATGCAATATGTCCGCTAACTCTCCAAACAGTTCCCTGCCAACAACAAACAACAGCTGTTCTTCACAAAGAACTCCTGCTCCGTCACATGGAGATGGATGGAGATACTGGCATCTCTGTCATCATTACACCTTTAGCTTGTTTTCGAACTTGCTGGAAAACAAGATTTTCCATATTTCTGCACGCATGTAAAACTACGTCACCTCCTGAACTTCCTGATCCAGCCTGTTTTTTATTCTAATTTGGTTACTATGAAATATTTCACTGTTTACCATTCGAGATGTCCGCTCTTGATTCATGAGCAAGTTTTTTTTTTCACACAGCCATAGGCAGGTTTCATTTCCTTGCTAGCGTATTTATTTAGTTCTGTGCAAAATATTTAGGTGATAGCATAATTATATTTTATCTTGTATACATGTCCAGTCCCCTCCTTCATGTGATTCATTTCAAACAATCCCTTCTGAGTATACATAAGGTAGTCACTGAGCACTTCAGCTGTTGCTCACAGCAGAAGGGACTTCTACAGTAAACATGTCCTCCACACGATTGCACTCACGCGAGCTCTTAGAAAGGAACACACAGGTCGGAATCAAACATTTTTCATCTATTTGTACGCTAAAAACCTGTTTGACTAAAAGCTGAGCTCTAACCAGCTTTTCCCTCTGATGATCCTCATGTTATACCCCAACACACCTTGCCTTCACCCCACAAAGTACCCAAGAGCACTTAGCCACAGGCCTGTATCTGTGCGGTGATTACATTTCCTGCTTTTTGCCAAGCAGTGAGGCTTGCATAGGATGAGGTTATTATCGCCAAGTGTCTGGACATATGCTTCAGTATTAATTGCTTGTGCAGCTGTGCAAAGAGAATGTCTTCTGTGTGCATTTGTTGGAGAGAGGCTTAGTAATGAATCTGCACACGCTTTCCACTCTAGACATCAGCACTTTAAACATATTTTTGTATCTGTTGTTTGTTTTTAGTATTACTAGATAAAGGCATCGTCTCTTTCCACACGACCTTCATTTTACAAAATATCCCAGTCCAGACAAGAGCACAAAAACAACTACAAGTGTTCAAACAAGCATGCCGGACTAGTAGGTGGCAATAAAGTCCACATCGACAATCCATCAAATACCTGAGAAGAAAGCTGGGGTCCTTGTATTCACACCTAGCATCGCTAACCAAACATAGAGGAACCGGTGTTTAGCCGCCATTGTTTATGTCTCTGGCACATTGTCATTGTTCTAAAAAACTCGGTGACATCACAACTTTCAACACAGCTTCCTAAAAATATTTGCAATAAATTTGATATGATCACATTATCATTTAATTAAAGTGAAAATGCTGCTAGCTTCATGATAAAGCCCTGTCAGTGTAATCAGATTATGCAGTTCTTTTTGTGGCCTGAATATAGTACATGAAATAACTGTTTCACATTTGCATAAAGGATATTGGATGGTTTTCATTCTATTTTGATCTCACCAGATATATATATTATATTAGTTGCTGTATTGTTGAGTATAAGAGCCGCCGCTATGGTTTTGCATGCCAATATGGTCCCATGTTAGGAATCGGATTGAGAATGAGTTAAAGACCATGTGTTTGAATATTCCTTAAGCAATGTTCCATTCCTGGAGAGAGGCCTGTAGCAGTAGCACAGCAGCCAGGTCTGTTCCCACCAGGGCAGCAGCAGTCAGGTTCACCTTAAAGAGCAGTGGGTAAGGTTGTGTAGAGGGTGAGGAGCCAGCGGTTAGTGAACCAACCTTTGGCTACAAAAGTGTCCCGGTATGATTCCCCCAAATGACCGGGCGGGAGCATGATGAGGACAGCACACAGTGCACATGAAGGCAGACAGAGGCCACACCTAAAAGATTCTAGAGCCAAGATATACTCCGATATCTGTTTTTCACTGTAATTGATGGGAGATTTTCCTCCCAGCACTCAAGCAAAACCAGGCAACTAAACATTACATATTTATGCAACTACAATGTGAATCCTTTGTTCCAAAATGAAATATCTGGACATACTGGTCCAAGACCTTCCTGTGTTTCAGCTCAGGGAGAGTGAGATGAGTGGGAAACTTGTTCTGGGTTTTTTCCTGCCCTCTAACCAATGTATGCTGGGACAGGCTAAAGATTTTTGCAATGTTGAAGTGGAAAATATAGAGATGAATGAAGGAAAATAATGAAATCAGTATCTAGGAAGCTTTAAACTCCTTGTTGGGTTTAAACCTCTGGTGTTTGTCCTCTAACAGTTTGACATCTGATGAAAAGGTAGAAAATCTTCAAAAGACTTGAAGTGAACTTCCAGCCTTTTGAGAACTCAAGTGTCAACCCCAACCCACTGACACACACACACACACACACAATACAATGCCATATTTGTGAGAGGGCTCACATTTGTGATTTACACAGAAAGGGTTGAGGGGTCTATCTAATCTAATCTAATCAAGCAGAAAGTTCTGACTAACA